TGGTGTGGGTGTGTGAACATGCTCTCCTGATCCGGTTTTCCGGGGTGTAGAGTGAAGTTCTCCATCTAAGATACTTTCCTTAGATTTGTTCTGGGGAAGCTCTCAACATTGATTACTTATTATTGCTGTGCTTATTAGGATGCCAAACTGGTTCTCTTTCATTCCTTAACATGCTCCTAATTTGACAGAATAAGTTTAAAATAATTGCAACGAATGTACCTTTTCAAAGTTAAAAGATTGGAGTACACTGGGATAGTTTGCAGTTTCTGGTATATGAAGGCTTTTGTGGGGTTAGTAAGTTTAGTCCCCACAATATTGCTGATGGTATTTGCCCTATTCCTATGGGCTAATTTCAGGTGCTGTCACCGAAGTCAAAACAGACATCTATGTGACCAGCTTTGGGCCTGTGTCAGATGTGGAGATGGTGAGTGAGCTCTGAGTGAGTTGGGTACTTTTGAACTTGAGAACTAATGATAATAGGCCTTACCAACAAGCTTGGTTCTAGATTCATGATGCAATATGTGTGTTCCTACTGAGAGGGCATGACCATTAAACTGAATACTGGCTTAAAGTCCTTCTCATTTTAGTGTGGGCTCTGCTTGAATGTTTTAAGAAGGACTTTAAAAGATTACATCCTTTCTTTCCAGTCACATGTGCACTGATTCTTCCTCACAAAGAGAAAATATTCTTCTTCTTTGGGAAGTCCTAGTAAATTTGTTGGCTTATGAAAAATTCATTAAAAAATGCAGATTCTGTGTCATATGAGGGTGAACTGAACATATGACACACAAGAATATACTGAAGATATCTGAAACTTAAAACGCCTGTCTTTTGTACTGGGTTATTATCAGTATGCTTTATTAAGTGACTAAGAAATCACTTGGAAAAGCTCCTACTTTCCACCTGTTACATTGCGGATGGCCCAGTGTGTGTTCTGGGGACTCTGTTCCAGGTACAGATGGCTGTAGAATTCGTAAGAAGGTATTTATAGTAAGTGGCAATGAAAGCCTGAACCGGTATTCTAGAAGAAAGTGTATCATGCCATTCTTCCATAGTTTTCAGTTGTTATTTTCTCCTGAAACTAAAATATAAATATTAAAGTAGAAATGCACATAACTATCTTTAATGAAGTATTTAATTAGATTTTCTTAGGGAAATGTAATTTTGGGTAAACAGTTACTAGAGACTTCATTAAGTTGAAAAGAGAAAAGTTGAAAAAAAACAGAAGATGTGAACAAAGGAAAAAGGAAGGTGTAAAGGAGGAAGGAAGAGGCAGTAGAAAGAGAAGAAAGTAATTAAAACTTAAGGCAAGGGTGATGGAGAAAAGTAAGGAAGGACTCTATTCAGAGATAAATACCTTAAGACTTAAGGAGAAAAGACACAACATAATTCAGACCTCTGATTATTTTAGTATCATATTTTTCATTCAAGTACTGACTCATTCCATATAAATAATCATGACCATTTCTATTGTATTACTGAAGTATTACATGTGTCTCTTTTTAAAGCATATTTAAAAATATAAAAATATAATAGAGCCATGACAGAACTTGAATCATTATTATATGAGTTTGTAATGTGCTAAATTATACTTTGAAATTTAATCACTATGTATAATAATAAAAATTATAAAGGAATTTGTAAAGTAAGCAAAACAATTATTGTCAATGTTTTGATATAATTACAAGTTATTTGTTATTGGCTTCTATAATAGCCTTTACCGTAATTCTTAAAAATGTTTACTGTTATCTCAAAAAGACATAAATAGGAAATCATAATTTTGTTATAAATTCTTAAATAATGCTGTTTATAAAAATTATGTCAACATTCACTTTTTATATTCTCTGATCTGATAACAATGTAAAATAGTTATGATATATGGCCAGAATGTGCTAATCAATACACTTTTTCTATTCTTGGAACTTTACTAAATGGTACCATAATTTTCTGAGACTGCTTTCAAGGTGAATGAGGTGCTAAGCAGAATGGTTAGAGGAAGTCATGGTAGAAAGGTCAGCACAAAGTCTATGCTATGAAAAAATGTTCATGTGTTTATCTTGAGTGGTTAAGAGACAGGGAAAGGTTCATAGAGAGACAGGTGGCTACATAGATATAGAAAGGGAACATTGAGAAGAGGTGGGATGGGAGGAAGGAATTCTACAAGTAGCACTGATTTTTACAATAATATTACAAACTTCCTGAGTTTGAGAAATATACTGATTTACCAAAAGAATTACTTATTGAATATAAATAACTAATTTATTATAATCACCAAGTATTCATTCATTATAAATAATCATTTACTTACTATGAAGTTATTATTTAGCTTTACTGACAAGTTATTGTCATAAAAAAGTTGCATTGTTGTTTAAATTTTAGAACTGGGCACATAAGCTAGTGAATAAGAATTTTTATCCAACCATCTCTCCACCCTGAATGAATACTTCCTAAACTTTCAGGAGTATACAATGGACGTTTTTTTCCGCCAGACTTGGACTGATGAGAGGTTGAAGTTTGTGGGACCAACAGAGATTCTGAGTCTAAATAACTTGATGGTCAGTAAAATCTGGACCCCTGACACATTTTTCAGAAATGGAAAAAAGTCAATTGCTCACAATATGACTACCCCTAACAAACTCTTCAGGATAATGCAGAATGGAACAATTCTGTACACCATGAGGTGAGATTTTTCCAGTTCTATTCCTCTGCCCAAATGGTTCTTCCACCATATTAATTCTACACCATGTGTTTCAACATCCTTAGGCTTACCATCAATGCTGACTGTCCCATGAGGCTGGTTAACTTTCCTATGGATGGACATGCTTGTCCACTCAAGTTTGGGAGTTGTAAGTTACAAGAAGTTTCTGTGAGAATAATATGTTCAAAATACATAATTATTTGATTGCAATCAGTGTCCAAAAAAGAAAAATATTATGATGTCATGTTCAGTGTGATTCCAGAAATAAACTATTTATCTTAGAAATAGGGGTTTTAGTCATCAAGATTAAAGATTATAGAAAAACATAACCAATTCTGGGCATTGTGGTACACACCTGTAATCCCAGGTAGAGGCAGAGATCAGAAGGATTGCCCACCTCAGCCAAAAAACACATTACCCTGATCTGATAGATAACTAAAACAATAAAAGCCTGGGAAGTGGCTGCAGTAGTAGAGCTCTTGCCTACTAAATGTGAGGACCTGAGTTCACCCAATACCACCCACATAATAATAATAATAGAAATGAAAATTTATTTTGCATTTTTTTCTATGAACATTACTTGCTTTTAATGAAAAACAGTCATGTTTAATTTGTTTAATTTGTCATGTTTAATTTGTTTCAAAAATTCAGATGCTTATCCCAAAAGTGAAATCATATATACATGGAAAAAAGGACCACTTTACTCAGTAGAAGTTCCAGAAGAATCGTCCAGCCTCCTCCAGTATGATCTGGTTGGACAAACAGTGTCTAGTGAGACAATTAAATCTAACACAGGTAAGACCTTGACCAGTTTCTATAAGGTGACTCCAGTGAACATTTTCAAAATACTTCTTTTTCCTCTGCAATAACCATTCTCAGCTAAACTTATGTTTTGAAGTGATGAGTAGTTGTCTTCAAAATTGATTTTGCAACCAAGTACATACGAGAGTTTGTGTAATCTTGGAATGAGTTGTTTTTTAAATCTATGACACAAAGAACCCCAGTGAAAACAATGAACCAATATGCCCCTTTGCTGCTGCTCAAGGAGTCTTCTGGTACATTGAAAAGTGCCTTTGATTGTTTTCTGCTAGTCCATGCTAATCTAAAATCTTGCAAGATGTATAGTTACCTGCATTCTTTTTGCAGACTGTCAATCAGCAAAAATACTAATGTACATTTCTTCTAACAGGTGAATATGTAATAATGACCGTTCATTTCCACTTGCAACGGAAGATGGGCTACTTCATGATACAGATATATACTCCATGTATTATGACAGTCATTCTTTCCCAGGTGTCTTTCTGGATTAATAAGGAGTCAGTCCCAGCAAGAACTGTCTTTGGTATGCCTCACACTTTCTACTACATTTTCGTTCATTCTCCATGTCTTATTGTTTGCATATTTTGGATGGAATATTCACACTAGTGCATCTCATCTTTCCCATCCACAAAGGAAATAGACTCCTATCTCATTCAGATATGTATGTCATGTAAATCCACCCTCATCTTGCAAGTGTGTGGTGAATCAACAAAATTTTGTCTCAGCAAGAATTCTGGCTGATTTCCTATGACTTTCATCTGCTCTATTTAGCAGGGCAAAGCAGAAAGATAAATCCAGAAAAACAAAAGACTAATAATATATTGAACCCACTCATATGAATTGTATCTCATATTTATTAGGATGAACCATCTAAAATTATCATTTTGTATGTATAAAATTAGTTAAATGTCACCAGTTTCTTATAGTTAAACTGAAATATTTAGTTCCACTTATGTGGTATAAAACACTACTCATTTTGAAGGGGCAAAAGTGAAATAATATGAAAAAGAGCTGAAAATGAAAATATTATCAGACACAAAAATCTGTGTTTTATGAATTTTCATTATTATAAATTTAGTGAGCAAGAGGAAAGGCCAGAGTTGAACTGAAATCTCAAAAGAATGCTGAAGTTTAAATCTACTGTATTAAAATAGATATCTTTTTGCAAATGACAAAAGGATATCTTCATAATGATGGCAGTTGTCAGTAGCTCATATCTTCTATTTGTATAAATTTCCCATGTCAGGTCAAGCAGTGAAAATGCTGGCAGATGAGTGATGAAATATTTCCTCATGAGGAAATATTTTTCCTTAAAACCAATGGAGTAAACTCATTTTATGTTACTTTTCCTTCCAGATAGACTTTTCAACTAATCAGAGATTAATCAGAAATTCAAGATGTTTTTACTCAAGTGATAGTAATTTGTTATTTTCCCAAGCAGTAAACAACAAGAATTATTCATGATTTAAATTTTACCATAGTTCAGCTCACTCACTATAGCTAATTATTTTTGAGCAGTTGTTTTGTATTAGTCATCATACTGCCTCTGAATGATTCAAAAATGGTAACACTTATAATAATTATGATGAACAATTATAACACAATAAAAAACCAAAAATTGTTTTGTGGTTGTAAAGAGTTTAATCCTTCTTATCAATATGCTCAGATTTGATTCTGTTATTAGACTGACTGCTAACACTGCATTTCTCATTCTTTTTTGTTTTAGGGATCACCACTGTTTTGACAATGACCACATTAAGTATCAGTGCCCGGCATTCCTTGCCCAAAGTGTCGTATGCAACAGCCATGGATTGGTTCATAGCTGTGTGCTTTGCTTTTGTCTTTTCTGCTCTCATTGAGTTTGCAGCTGTCAACTACTTCACCAATCTTCAGTCACAGAAAGCCAAAAGGAAGGCTCAGGCAGCAGCCCTGTCCCCCGTGACAAAATCAAAAGCCACCGAACCCTTGGAAGCTGAGATTGTTGTGGTAATTGTTTTCTTTTCTAATGGTGCTCACCAGATACAAAAACTTGGTCCAAATAGTGATTGCGAACATGTATATAGTCCCAAATAATATTAGTTGAACACAAGTAACGTAACTAGTTCCAAGGGCAAGGCCAGTCTCTCTTTCCAAGTTCACAGAATAATGCCAAGGAACAATCCCTTATTTATCTTTGCTCTAAACTTTTGGTATTTCATCATCCTCACTTTTACTGGCGGATCACAGGCCCTCAGAGGAAACCAGAAAATTCAACTTAGCTTTTAGATGTTTCCTTTGAACAGGTTCACTTATACCAACTAGAGAGAATAAAGTAAAATGAAAGTCCTAACGAGGTTTCAGAGTCTGGAAGAAAGAAACAGGGACTCTTCTGGTATGGATAATTTTTATTAGAAATCTTGCTGCTCTAGTTCATGAGGGAAAGACATAAATAGTGCATAATAGATCCTCTGAAAGCTGAGTCACAATCCAAATATATGATTCCCATTAAAACACTATATTTACATTACACATTAAAAGCAAGCACACTAATGAATTTGTATTCAAAGGTTTTTAATAAGTGAGAAATGCTCTTAACCTCACATTAAATTTACTGTGGACAAGCCTTAGTCCCCAAAGGTTTTTGAATAGGAAACAAGTTGTAGCATTAATATGTAAGAAGCCATAAATCTACAACCAAATTTCATTTTTATATATGAGTAAATTCTCACAATAATTAAGTTGAACACACTTTATAAAATAGATTATAAAGTTGATTGACAAGTATAATTTTTTATTTTAAATATAAATCCAAAATGGTAGCTCTCAGAAAGAAGGACATTTTGTCCTATAAAGAGTAATGCAGACAATTTGAACAGGAAATTTTCTATAATTGATCACTTCCTATAAATACTTCCAACTTTCAAAAGCACATGCAGTTTAGTAATCCTTGGATTAACTTTATGATAAAAAAAAACTATAAAGCATTTTGCTTTAAATCTATGAGTTTAAGATACTTATTGGCTAAAATGTTGGTAGTTTTTTACTGATCATTTTCTGATTGATAAACTGAGTAGTCTATTTAAGAATTTACATTTTCTCCAGGAAGTAAGAGGACACCATTCCCACATTAAGTCTAAATATATAAAGATTTTTTTTTCTAGAATTAGTTCTCATTAGGAAAACAAGAAAAGGAAGGAAGGAAGGAAAGAAAGAAGAAAATAAGACGGGAAGGAAGAAAGGAGAATGTTTATTATCCATTGATTCAGTCTAATTACCTTCTTTTACAAATCAAAGAAAGAGCAAAAAACAGTGTCAGTGTCTTAGAAGGAAAATATCAGTGACTATTTGACAGAAAACTAGGAACTGATTCTACAACTTCTGATATTTACATTACAGAAGTCAAGGCCTTCCTCATCTCCAAAAGTTCCCCAAGGACTCAAATATACCACACTGTTCAAAACATTCTGAGAATGTCAGCAAGGTCATTTCTCAAACTCTCCCCTTGACTTAGTGATACTTTCTTTATATGTATAGGATGGAAAGATCACAAAGCTATAAATTTTGTAAGAAAAACATGTTAGTCTGCAGAGTTAGTTCAAGACATTCAAAGACCATTGTTTGCAGGCAAAATGAATTCCAAATTTTTAAAAATTATTTTATGTTTACCAAAAAAAGTAATTCTGTTATAAGCTATCCATATACATATGAGGTATACAGCTTATATATTGTACAAAGATTATATATTATTACAATGTGTATCTATAAATGAATTATTCATTAGAATTCAACTTGAAAGTTTGAGAAGTATAGAAAAAATGAAAAGGGAAATTAATCAGAAATGAGGTAAAAAGTGGAATGGTTTCGAATATATTCATTGGTCAGATATTGAAATAAGAAAAAAAACCAAATTCTTTACTTCATCTTCTTTGAAATATATGGTACTAAGAGTATGATTTTAAATCTTTGGTGAAAACATATCATTCCCTCAGGCTATTACTTTAAAGGTTTAATTTATTAATAAGATGGAATTTAAGATTTCAGGACTTCATATAAACTATTTCCTACAATCCTAAAATAGTAACATAATGAGCAGGTCTTTGGGGAAGCAAGGATAAAAAATTGCCTTTAAATCACCCAAAGTACTTTTTCTTGCAAGTTGCCTTTTTTCTCTATGAAAAAGTGTATTGCTGAACATAGCTCCAATTAAAATATTTTTAAGCAACAAATAGGATAATTTTATTTCTAAAAGGGTACAGTGTTAAAAATAAAAATAAAAATAACCAAACCAAAAATGCAAACCCTGAAAGTAATAAAAATAAATATAGGTGATTATATAGGACATTTGCATTTTATTTCTTCATGTCAAAACTTGGTGAGTTGCCTTTTATAATATACAGGAGGAAACATAAATTTCCTATTTACATCACACAATGGTATATTAAGATTGCAAGGTCATTTTCTTTCTGGCAAATACTGTGACATTTAAAAGTGCCTATTCAGTTGTAATCAAAACAACATTACGTACATAAGTTAGGTATTGAAACAGTATACTAGTGTGGTGAAGCTGAGATAAATTATTTCATGTGATTCTGTCTTTTATTTTTATATGCCAGTGTCTTTCTTAAGAAACTAATAGACATGCATAAAATTTTCTTATTTTTATCACTTTTATCATTTTGATTTTTAAGCTTGAAATTTAATGTAACAATAGCAAGGAAATTCAGGTAGGACTCAAACCCCAAAAGGCACCTTAAAAGTAAATTCTTTGAAGGGATCTATGGGATAATCATCTTTTTTAAGGCATTTGGAATTGGAAACTTCAGGTTCTTTTTAAGTTTTGAGAAGAAACTATCAATAGCTTCTCTTCTGCTTATAATGTGTATTTTCTTACTTATTTTTTTAAATCTAGCTTACTATCTTGGCACTGTAGTCATTCCTTTCTTTACGGTTTCAGACGTTCTTATGTGACAGGAGGATACTCACACTGCACTTGAAACCAAGTTTGGTACTTGACTCTGTGTGTAGTTTGCCAGTTTCCTTATTATTTTAGAGGTTGACACACCATTCCCATGTTCCTAAGTGTGAATACACTCGACCCCATGAGCCCTTCCCTTACATATTGTTATTCCTCCTGATGTGGCATTTCATATCACAAGGGATTTTGTGCCTTATGTACATTAAAACTGACCACAGGGCGCCAGTGGCTCACGTCTGTAATCCTAGCTACTCAGGACACAGAGATTAGGAGGATCGCAATTCGAAGCCAGCCTGGGCAAATAGTTAGTGAGACTGTATCTCAAAAAAACCCATCACAAAATTAGGACTGGTGGAGCAGCTCAAGGTGAAGATCCTGTGTTCAAATCCCAGTACTGAAAAAAAAAACTGACCACATCTACATGTAAAATTGATCGAAATATCATTATCCAGGATGGCATTGCTTACTCATTGTCTTTTTGTTTTCATCTGGCACCCATTTGTGGAATGGTTATATATTTACTGAATTAGTCATGCTGTATTTGTAAAATGCTCTTATGTGTCAGGTCCATTGTAGAATGCTGAGTGACATCATAGGTCCTCTTCCCTCGTGGAACTTCTTGTCTAGCAGGAAAAGAGGCAAATAAATGGATCTTTAAAATACAATGTGATAAAGGCTGTGGTTAGACATGCAGGGTAGGATAAAGAAGAGCCAGGTAAGTTAGGAGGGGTCCATTTCTAGAGGATCAAAGCCTAAACTGGGAGGAGAAAGATGAGCCTGGCCTCATGTTAGAAGCACTAAACCAGCTGGAACTCAGACACAGTCCTTCCTGCTCTCCTCTTCAAGGTGAGGGATGTGTGCTGGGCCTTTACTATGCTATACTCATGTATGTAGGGAGATGCGAGGGATGGAGTGCTGAAAGGCTTACTTTCCCTCTTCCAAATTTTGCCAATAGTTCTTTGAGTAGTTTCATTACTTCCTAGAATTAAGACTAGTCGATTCTAAACACAAGGAAGATCATGGTACCCTTTCCCCATTGTTACGCCATTCTAAGACTAATGAGGATGGGATGAACTAGATGAGAGGTGCAGGCAGTTAGTTCTTTCTCCATACTTTCTATCCAATTCCCATCCAGTACCCAATTCCATAACTTCCAAAGCCGGTCTGCTTTCCCCTCGCTCAACTGACACACTGGATTGATGCCTCTTCTCTGTAGAAGTTCTGGAGTTATCTATGCTCCCAACTCTGTTAGCTGTAACGTAAAGGGAAGAAAATCCCTTGGAATTGCGTTTTCTCCATAATGATTAATGTAATAGCTTTGAGATATATCAAAGCTAGGTGTGGTGACTCATGGCTATAATCCTAGCTACTAAGGAGGTGCAGATCAGAGGTGGATATCTGGAGGATTACAGTTGGAGTCTAGCCAGGACAGAAAAGTTCACTAGACTCCATCTCAACCAATAAAAAGCTAGTCATGGCTGCATGTTCCTGCCATCCCAGGTATGTGGGAAGTGTAAATAGGATGATCAATGTATTCCAGGCCAGCCTAGGCATAAGTGTAAGACCCTACATCAAAAACAACTGAAACAAAGGGGGCTAGAGACATAGATCAAGTGGTATAGCACCTGCCTAGCATGAACTAGGCCATGAGTTCAAATCCCAGTATTGCTGAGAGAGAGAGAAAGAGAGAGAGAGATCAAATACTACATGTTTCCAAAAACCTATTCTCTCTTACTTTGATGCCCCTCATTGTTGGTTCCATAAACAATTACTTTACCATTCAGTTGGGCAGCCCTGGCTAGAATATCTCAGTTAAGAGGTTATATATTGCCCCACTATTTTAACAGATTAGACTCAAAATTGTTCTACATATTTCTCTAGTGCCTTATTAAACAATTGATTGTCATATTGTCCACTTTGACTCACAGTACCTTTGCAATATGACTTTACTTAAAACAAAGAGGTGCTCTAAAAATATCCAAAGCAGGATGGCACTCAGCAGCAGGGAAGCCCTGGAAAAATTCAAAACCAC